TTGGATTTGTTTAGTCTCTCATCGTTTGGTAGTGCGGATCGTCCTAGACTTAAGGATGTCATCGAACACTATGTCCTAGGGTTATACTTTGACTGTACAACTCTATCCGCCTGAAACATGGGGAGAACAGTGTACTCTTGGGTATAACTTGAATACATGAGTCTAGATGGACATGCCGAGAGACTCATAGTCCCCTATAAGGGATTAGTCGTTCACAAGACCGGTGGAACTTGGATGACTTCTAATTGACTCAGGAATCTATGCATAGTAAGTGATCATGAGGAGTCATGATCAATCTTAGAGTCAATAGAAAAAGATTCCTAGTTCTATGAAAAGCTATATTTAGTCAACAAGAGAGATGATACTATTTCCTTGCTCTCGACTAAATGTGAATGACGATATGAGGGATGATTCCGACACGGTATCCAAATTAGAAAGGTAGATCACTTGGTCAACTCAGTTAGTTCTGGGGCCGCAGAGCATTGCTAGTGTCTTATATGGTCATTAAATGAATTTGGTCTGTTAAAAGAGTTTAATTGGTCCAAGTTCATTTATGTCAATTAATAATTGGGCCTAATGGGTCACACACAAAGGTTATTCCTTGTTGCAAGCAGGTTTGGGCCAATAATAAGTTATTGGGTTTTATCAAGACTATGAGTTGAATTGGATTCCAAACCCAATCAAAAACATGAGCCACATTTGGCCCTTTAGAGCAAAATTGTTTCTTGCTAATGGGATCAAATGTTTAGTTAGGCCCAGCAGGGTCTTTGGGCCATGGATCCTAGAAAGTCAAAAGTTGATTTGACCAAAATAAGTTTTGGACAAAATTTGAAATTTGAATTTTGAAATTTGAATTTTGAAATTTTGAATTTTGAAATTCGAATTCAAATTTAAATTACGAAATTCGAAATTGAAATTTTGAAATTTGAATTTTGAAATTTTGAATTTCAAATTTGAATTCAAAATTTGAATTACGAACTAGGATAACAATGAAGTTTAAAATTTGAATTTAAAGTTTGAAAAGTTTAAAATTTGAATTTGAAATTTGAACTCATGAGATTGGTTTGTTGATTGATATCTAATGAAGATTGAATATAGATTTTCTGAACAGTTTTGTCTGAATTTAGAATTTAAACAATACTGTTGGAGCTACAAAATGGAGAAGATCATGGTGATGAATTTCGAAATTTTGAAGATGGTTCTTCTATAATCTAATTCAAAATTTCAACACTTGAATTTCATATTTTCAGCTCTTGGAATTTTTTTAAATTTTAGAGCCTCTGGAGAGATGTTGATTTCGAATTTTTAGCAAAAATTGGTGGAAGAGATATTCTCTCAAACTACTCAATCTTTCAATATCTTTGAAGATTTGTTTTTAAATTTAATATTCTGATTTTTTAAATTAAGAATCTTTAAAAGATCACTTGTGAAGATATAAGAAAGCAAGCATCTTTTCAGGGTCTACAAGAGACTGAAAAATCGCCCTCTCTACATGAGAAGCTCCTCTGTGTTTTTTTGAAAACAGATCATCACCTATTCTTCTCCATTTTTCACCCCACACCTAATCTCAAGACAACAATCACAGTCTTGAGAAAATTAATCAAACACTTGTAAATCCTCTAGCCTTCATTCGCCTAGCAAGTAATTAAGGGCAAAGGAGGATCAAGTAGAAGAGTTCTCTGCTGCGACATTGGAGATAGCTGTGTGGACTATTGTTAGAGGGCATAAGCCTTTTGAAGCCTACAGAAGATCGGAATAAGGTAATTCTAAATCCTCTCGTGTTTCAATGAGCGTTTTCTTTATAAATCACATGAGGGCATAGATTGTCTATGCATTCCGCTTTCAGAATGTCTGCGTACTGCTTGCTTCAATGTCTGCGGGAGCTTCAGCGTCAACATGAGCATATGGATGCTCCCTCTCATTATCCTACATCTGAAAGAGCTGTATGATAAGCAGGGAATGGTTGAACGCTTTGAAACCTCCAAGGAGCTGTTTGGCTGTTATATGAATAAGGTAGAATCAACACTTGCTGAGTTGTTTAGTCTACTCACCACTGCTGAGGGTGCTGTTAAGAAGAACAGGACCCAGGTTCTTCTGATTGGCAAGGCCAAGGGTAAGAACAAGTCTGTGAGGACAGACAAGCTCAAACCCAAGGGTCAAGCGAAGAAGAAGAATGGCAAGGGGAAGAAGGAAAAGTCAAAGGATAAGGTTGATGCTGTATGCTTCCACTGTCAGAAACCAGGACATTGGAAGAGGAACTGCCCGTTGTACCTTGAGAGCATCAAGGGGAAGAAGCATGGTGATGCTACTACCTCAGGTATGTTTACTATAGAAATTAATTTTTCAAGTGTTGATTCAACTCATATTTGCAATATGTTGCAGGTGCTTAAAAACCGAGGAGGTTGGAGAAGGACGAGGTGAATCTCCGGGTCGGTAATGGAGCAAGAGTTGCTGCCTTAGCTGTAGGAGATGTAGACCTTATTTTGCCTATGGGTTTTGTCTTACGCTTGTTTAATTGTTTCTATGTTCCGTCTATTTTCCGAAACATTATTTCTATTTCCCGTTTAGAACAGTATAGTTTTAACTTTATAATAAAGGATGGCAAGTTTTCTGTCATTATGAATGATTCTGTTTATGCTTGCGCATCACGGGTTAATGGTTTATACGTTTTGGATTTAGATACGAATAGTGACGTTCTTAGTATACAAACTAAGAAACCTAGATTAGATAGTAGATCCTATCTCTGGCATTGTAGATTAGGACACATCAATGAGACGAGATTGTCTAGACTCCATCAGGATGGTTATCTAGATTCCATGGATTTTGAATCCTACGGACCTTGTGAATCTTGTTTGGCTGGTAAGATGACGAAGACCAAGATTGATAAATTGGCGAGTCATAGAGCCAATGAGTTATTGGAACTCATTCATTCTGATGTATGTGGACCTATGTCTACGCAGGCTAGAGGAGGATTTTTCTATTTCATTACCTTTACTGATGATAAGTCCAGATACGGATATGTGTACCTTATGAGGCACAAATCCGAGGCCTTTGAAAAGTTCAAAGAGTTTAGGAATGAAGTAGAGAAACAACTTGGCAAGATGATTAAGACACTACGATCAGATCGGGGTGGTGAATACATGAGTCAAGAGTTTCAGAATTATCTAAGAGAGAATGGGATTCTCTCACAGTTGACGGCTCCTTACACACCGCATCAAAACGGTGTGTCTGAAAGGAGGAACCGAACCTTGTTAGACATGGTACGGTCTATGATGAGTAGTACGAAGGTCCCAAAATCGTTTTGGGGATTCGCTCTTGATACAACGGTATATCTTCTTAATAGGGTTCCGTCTAAGTCTGTTCCGACTACCCCATATGAGATATGGGGGGGAAGGACGCCCAACTTGAGTTACCTCAAGGTATGGGGCTGTCCAGCTTATGTCAAGACCCTAGCACCTGAGAAATTAGGAGCTAGGAGCGCATTGTGCTTCTTTGTAGGCTATCCCAAAGAAACTAAGGGATACTACTTTTACTACCCTGAGGACAACAAGGTAATTGTGTCCAAGAATGCTACTTTCCTTGAGCAGGATTTGATCTCTCAAGGAGATAGTGGGAGTAAGGTAGAACTTGAAGAAGTTCGAGACCTACAGGATCAGACAGCGGAGCCCGAGTCTGTTGATCAGGCGATGCCTCAATTAGAGGCAGTAGACACCCAGCCCCGTAGGAGCGCTAGGATTACTCGTCCACCTGATTGGTACGGATTTGTGATTGAGAATCAGCAAACCGTTGAGGATGACGAGCCTACTTCCTACACTGAGGCGGTCAAGGATGCTGACTCCTCAGAATGGCAGACAGCTATGGAATCCGAAATAGATTCGATGCATCAGAACAAGGTATGGACCTTGGTTCCACCACCTGAAGGAATAGTTCCTATTGGGTGTAAGTGGGTCTTCAAGAGGAAGACTGATGCTGATGGCAACATTCAGACCTATAAAGCTAGGTTGGTTGCGAAGGGTTACCGTCAAAGGCAAGGAATTGACTTTGAGGAAACCTTCTCACCTGTTGCCATGATCAAGTCTATTAGGATTATGCTAGCTATAGCTACATATCACGACTATGAGATTTGGCAGATGGATGTCAAAACCGCCTTCTTGAATGGTTTCTTGAAGGAGGAAGTGTACATGACACAACCCGAGGGTTTTGAGTCCAAAGGCCAGGAGCATATGGTATGCAAACTTCAGAAATCGATATATGGGCTAAAGCAAGCTTCCAGAAGCTGGAATCTTCGTTTTGATGAAGTTGTAAAGAGTTATGGCTTTATCAAGAATGAGGATGAACCATGTGTTTACAAGAAGGTTAGTGGGAGCGCTGTTGTTTTCCTTGTGCTTTATGTAGATGACATATTGCTCATCGGAAATGACATTCCCATGTTGCAATCCACGAAGATTTGGTTGTCAGAAAACTTCACCATGAAGGATATGGGAGAAGCGGCCTATATACTGGGTATAAAGATCTATAGAGATAGGTCTAAGAGGTTGCTTGGATTATCCCAATCCACATACATAGATAAGATGCTAAAGAGGTTTAGCATGGAGGGGTCGAAAAGGGGTTTTCTTCCCGTCAGTCATGGTGTTCACCTTTCTAAAGCGATGTGTCCAAAGACACCGGCTGAAAGGGAACGCATGGAGAGGATTCCATATGCATCAGCAATTGGATCCATCATGTATGCCATGTTGTGTACGAGACCATATGTCTCTTATGCTTTGAGCATAACGAGCCGATACCAGGCTGATCCTGGAGAGGATCACTGGAAGGCCGTGAAGACAATCCTGAAGTACTTAAGAAGAACTAAGGATTTGTTTTTGGTTTATGGTGGAAGTGATGAGCTAAAAGTGAAGGGGTTCACTGATGCCAGTTTTCAGAGTGACAGAGATGACTGTAAATCCCAGTCAGGATTTGTCTACACCTTAAATGGTGGAGCAATCTGTTGGAAGAGTTCCAAACAGGAGACCACGACCGACTCTACTACCGAAGCAGAATACATTGCAGCTTCAGAAGCTGCTAAGGAGGCAGTCTGGATCAAGAAGTTCATCACAGAACTTGGAGTGGTTCCTAGCATAGTTGATCCAATACTCATGTATTGTGACAACACTGGCGCGATAGCCCAGGGCAAGGAACCCCGGTCTCACCAAAGGTCCAAACATGTGCTCTGGAAGTATCACCTCATCCGAGAAATTATTGAAAGGCTGGAGATAAAGATGGATTACGTTCCCACAGATAACAATTTGGCCGATTCTCTGACGAAGGGTCTCTCTCAGAGAAAACATGATAGTCATTATGAGTCTTTAGGTTTGACACGTCGACTTGATTGGCTCTAGGCCAAGTGGGAGATTGTTAGTATATAGGTGTCCTAGAGACAATCTGTTACATCAGATGAACACCTTTTACTACTTATATTTCATGATTTATTTAATATATGAGCACATTTTATCTTTTTCATATTTTTGTCTCGCCTTAATATTAGGTTAATATGCGATTAAAGATAAAAGCCCCAGGAATAGAACAGGTGTTCATGTGAGGATCTATGATAGGGATCATGATCATGAGGACTCGAGGACACCACATGTCTATTGCCTAAAGTATGTTCCTAGTCTTGAATCACCAAGAGAGGGCATTGGTGATCTCAATAAGACTAGTACGACATCTTCTACTTGTATGGAGATACAAGGTAGGGACCTCATGGTATGCAGGTATGGTGATACCCTAGCTGATGTCGTAGGTGGATCTGTTCAGGAACAGAGAGCACTGAACTGACCCGCAGAGAGACTCCACAAGGATTTCACTAAGTATCATTGGATTTGTTTAGTCTCTCATCGTTTGGTAGTGCGGATCGTCCTAGACTTAAGGATGTCATCGAACACTATGTCCTAGGGTTATACTTTGGCTGTACAACTCTATCCGCCTGAAACATGGGGAGAACAGTGTACTCTTGGGTATAACTTAAATACACGAGTCTAGATGGACATGCCGAGAGGACTCATAGTCCCCTATAAGGGATTAGTCGTTCACAAGACCGGCGGAACTTGGATGACTTCTAATTGACTCGGGAATCTATGCATAGTAAGTGATCATGAGGAGTCATGATCAATCTTAGAGTCAATAGAAAAAGTTATTCCTTGTTGCAAGCAGGTTTGGGCCAATAATAAGTTATTGGGTTTTATCAAGACTATGAGTTGAATATGGTTGGAATTGGATTCCAAGCCCAATCAAAAACATGCGCCACATTTGGCCCTTTAGAGCAAAATTGTTTCTTGCTAATGGGATCAAATGTTTAGTTAGGCCCAACAGGGTCTTTGGGCCATAGATCCTAGAAAGTCAAAAGTTGATTTGACCAAAATAAGTTTTGGACAAAATTCGAAATTCGAATTTTGAAATTTTGAATTTTGAATTTCAAATTCAAATTTAAATTACGAAATTTGAAATTTAAATTTTGAAATTTGAATTTTGAAATTTTGAATTTCAAATTTGAATTGAAAATTTGAATTACGAACTAGGATAGCAATGAAGTTTAAAATTTGAATTTAAAGTTTGAAAAGTTTAAAATTTGAATTTGAAATTTGAACTCATGAGATTGGTTTGTTGATTAATATCTAATGAAGATTGGATATAGATTTTCTGAACAGTTTTGTTTGAATTTAGAATTGAAACAATACTGTGGGAGCTACAAAATGGAGAAGATCATGGTGATGAATTTCGAAATTTTGAAGATGGTTCTTCTAGAATCTAATTCAAAATTTCAACACTTGAATGTCATATTTTCAACTCTTGAAATTTTTCGAAATTTTGGAGCCTCTAGAGAGATGTTGATTTCGAATTTTTAGCAAAAATTGGTGGAAGAGATATTCTCTCAAACTACTCAATCTTTCAATATCTTTGAAGTTTTGTTTTTAAATTTAATATTCTGATTTTTTAAATTAAGAATCTTTAAAAGATCACTTGTGAAGATATAAGAAAGCAAGCATCTTTACAGAGTCTACAAGAGACTGAAAAATTCGCCCCTCTCTACATGAGAAGCTCCTCTGTGTTTTTTTGAAAACAGATCATCACCTATTCTTCTCCATTTTTCGCCCCACACCTAATCTCAAGACAACAATCACAGTCTTGAGAAAATTAATCAAACACTTGTAAAACCTCTAGCCTTCATTCGCCTAGCAAGCAATTAAGGGCAAAGGAGGATCAAGGAGAAGAGTTCTCTGCTGCGACATTGGAGATAGCTGTGTGGACTATCATTAGAAGGCATCATCCTTTTGAAGCCTACAAGAGATCGGAATAAGGTAATTCTAAATCCTCTCGTGTTTCAATGAGCGTTTTCTTTATAAATCACATGAGGGCATAGATTGTCTATGCATTCCGCTTTCAGAATTTTTTTTTTTATTTTTCCCTCATGTAGGCATATCATTGTGCGACAATGATGGTGCTAAAGTTTCAAACTTTCACGTCTTGCATAGACTTTTTAGTAGATAAAGCGATAAGCTTTTATTTACCAAAAAAAAAGCGATAAACTTTTAAATAGGAAAATAGAAGTATCATGTTATAGAAAAATGATTATGTCATATTATAGACACAATTAATATAAACTCCATTATTTTTAAAATAAAAAAAAAAGAAAAAAAGAAATAATAAAGTCTATATTAATTGTGTCTATATCATGACATAATCATTTTCCTACCAGACGATACTTCAATTCTCCTTTAAAGTAATCTCTTTACTTTCATTTCTAAGATGCTGGTGATAACGAAGACATCGCATCCTGATGCAAAGACTTTAGGACCGATTTCGGTAAACTTATGAAAGGAGGAAGCATTGGTTGTTTTTTTAAGAAAAAATAGAGCAATTTTTTTTTTTGTACAAGCATAAAAAATAATTTTAAATAAGAAAATAATATTAATTTTTTTCAAAAGCGATTTATTTATTTTATTTTTTAAAGAAGTTACATCTAAGATTTTTTATTTTTTTTTGTGAACACATCTAAGATTTTGAATACACATATATAAAGTAAAAAGTATTTTGATTTTAACAAAAAATCCAAACAAGGATCCAAATTCCAAAACGTTACGAAGACATATTTTAACAGACTAATTGAGGAATTATTTTAATATTTTCTCAATCTAAAATCTTAAAATGATAATTTTCTAAGTTTTTTATTTTATATTATTTTTACCTTGTTCATTCTTATGCACACGGACATTGTAATATCCTTTCTTGCTCATTTTTTTTTTTGGTTGGATGTAATGATCAACAACTTAATTGGTGCAAGCCAAGCTTTAATTTCAATAATTACTAAGGTTATATATTTTCTAAAAGTCACGCGCCACACGTATTATTGCTCTTCATCACTTGTTGAGCCACGATTTACCTATGTTACCATTCGTTGTTGGGTCAGGCCATGAATATACTCATCTTAGCTGATCCAAATTAACAATTATGATATTACTCAATAGGCCGTCAGGAAAATCTAAAACTCATGTTTTAATAGACTTAAATAATAATCACACTCTAAGCTTAACACGGTCTTAATCTAAAACCTTTTTTCCGAATAAATCTTAATCTAAGACTTTAATTTATCAGTTTAATGTTTGTTATTTTATATGATCACAATTTGTCCATTCCTATTTGTTCATAACATACACAAATACACAATCTCAGTAAGATTGATAACCCAAAAGGCCAAGAATGTAACCCCATAGTGTAAATAAAAGAACCAAAGTTCTATAGGTCCTTACTTGCTTTTTCCCTTATACATGTATGGCTGACTTTTAGACCTCATTCATTTTTAAAACCTTCCATCGACGAAGAAAAAGTAAAAAATTCTGAAAACTTCTTTCATACTCGACATGAATATTTTACTACATGATGCTACATATCTATTAAGGAATTTGTGCATGTTTGAAAAATGGATTGGGGTTTTGTAGTTGAAAAATGATAGCAAAGACACATGTTTATTCTATAACATAAAGTACATAGCTAACCCGTTATGCACTCAGTACATATATATTTCAGAGATTATAATAAAACATATATAGATACAGCACTAGTCTTATTTAGATATAGTAGTCTTAATGTATATATGTGACGCTGCATCTTCATGTTGGAGAAAATCCATTATTTAACAGTTTCTGGTGCACCAACAGCGATCATCATCCCTGCACCTGCCACTGATGAAGTGCTCTTTTTTCTTACAGTGATCGTCACAGCTTCTAAAGTCCAAGCATGGACCCTTGTATGTATCAGCCAGGTGCTCACAAGTGTTTGCCTCAGTTTGCACCACCATTTCTTCTGCAGGTTGCAATTGATTCATGATTCATGTGAGTTATTTGTTGATCCAAACGTTTAACAATAAGGAAGAAAAATAAAAATAAAAATGAAACGAATAGGTATAAAATATAAAGGTTAATTTAGTGTTTCTCGTATAAAGTTACGTCTTCAAACCCTAAAATAATAATTCAAACATTATCTTAACCTAGAAAATTTTAGGGATTAATATTTCTCATGTCATAGAAAATAATTTTATTTTCTATGTATACGTAAAAATATATGGCCCATATTTTTCTTATTTTCTTTTCTTTTCAAATGGGTCTAGATGTATTCTACATACTTTTATGTGTATGTACCCCACATACTTTTATATGTATGTAGTAGATAATTTAATCTCCTACAACACGAGAAACCCTAATCCCAAAATTTTGAAACATTGAATTTATATATTTTTCTATTTATATTGTCTTTATTTAATTATTATAAATAATGTTAAACTTCACCGCTCATGTTTAAATTCTGAACAAATTAAAATTATATGAGCAAAATGCATAAGTAATAGAAAATACGTATCTTAAAAATATGTTCAGCCAATTCATATATTATTTAACTATTCCATGTCGAGTCAGGTAGGACCACAATATTAGCAAAACTATTTCTATCAAGGTTTTAACATAATATAATTAAGTTGAAACAACTCAATGATAGTCGTGCATCGTTCTTTAGACATTATGCATACTAAACATTTAAATATAAATATAGCTAGACAAATGAAGTTAGTTAGCGTTAAGAGTAATGACTTACTAGCAACAAAGAGAACGAGGAAGAGGAAGCACAACCGAGCAAGTGATTTCTTCTCCATGGCTTAGTGATTAACTTATATGCTATATGTGTAATAGTGAAGTTGTGAATTTGCGATTATAGGTGGTCTGTGTTATATGTATAAGATAAACTTGGTAATGCAACCTGTTGATATTATTCAAGTGTGCAGCCTTTTAATAGGCAATTGGCAAAACAGATACACGATTTGTTACAGAGCTTTGTTACAGAGAAATGATAAGAGATAAAAACAACTATCTAAATTATCTAACTATCTAGTAACAAACTAAAGAATCTGCAATATAACAATCTAACCGTATAATATATCTAACAGTATAATATCCTAACAAATATTGATATCCTAACAATCTCCAACACTCCCCCTCAAGTTGGAGCATGCAAGGATGAAATGCCCAACTTGGGAAGGAATTCGAAGAACGGACGTTGTCCCAATGCTTTAGTAAACAGGTCCGCAAGTTGGGATCTTGAACGGGCGTGAGCAGTGACAATGTTGTTGGCAAGAATCTGTTCTCGCACGAAATGGCAATCTATTTCGATGTGTTTTGTCCGTTCATGGAAGACGGGGTTGGCAGCTATGTGTAAGGCGGCTTGGTTGTCACAAAATAACTCCATAGGACCTGAATGTGGAACACCAAGGGAAGTAAGAAACGATTTGAGCCAAACTAACTCCGAGGTAGCTGCTGCCATGGATCTGTATTCTGCTTCTGCCGAAGAACGGGAGACCGTGACTTGTTTCTTAGTCTTCCAAGAGATTGGGGATGATCCTAGCATAATAAAAAAACCAGTAATGGATTTGCGAGTGAGAGGACAAGATGCCCAATCCGAGTCGCAGTAAGCATGAAACTGTAAGTCACAATCGGACTTAAGAAGTAAGCCTTGGCCGGGATTCCTTTTGAGATACCGAAGGACACGAACGACAGCTTCAAAGTGAGCTTGCTTGGGTTGTTGCATGAACTGTGATAAAATATGAATGGCATAACTCAAATCAGGTCGAGTGATGGTGAGGTAAATGAGTTTACCTATAAGTCTTCGATATCGTTCAGGATTGTCAAACATAGGGCCATCATCCAAGGCGAGGCGATGATTCTGTTCGATGGGAGAGTTCGCAGGCTTACTCCCACTCAAGCCCGATTCGGACAGAAGGTCCAAAGTGTACTTACGTTGACAAAGGAAAATGCCTTGCTTGCTACGAGCAATTTCAATACCCAGGAAATACTTCAGCGGACCTAAGTCTTTGATTTTGAAACATTTGTTCAAATACTCCTTGGCTGCTTTACATGCATTAGGATCATTCCCTGCCACTATTATATTATCAACGTAGACTAGGACTGCTGGGAAAGCGTCCCCTCTTTGGAGAGTAAAGAGCGTATAATCTGCCCTTGATTGTATAAAACCATAATGTGTCAAGGAAGAGCTGAGTTTGGAGAACCAGTTTCGTGGTGATTGCCTCAGTCCATACAAGGATTTGCTAAGACGACATACTTTGTGATTGGATCCGTCACTGAATCCGGGAGGAAACCGCATGTAAACTTCTTCACTTAGGTCACCGTTCAAGAATGCATTGTGGACGTCGAGTTGATGTAATTCCCAATTTTTGGCAGCTGCTACAGCAAGTAGTGTACGAACACTCAC